TCCTTTACAAGATCACTTCTCTTTCTTTTCTCTAAATCTTGGAGGAGAAGAAGAAGCAACGAATTTTTGTCCAAGAAAACAACATCAATGGCGGTTTATTCTAACGTTAATGGCGATAAGAAACACTGGTGGTTCACTCAAAGAAAGGTAATTATTGAAAATCTCTTCATTCGATTCAAAATATGTATGTTCAAAAGAAATACTTCTTCCTTAGTCTTTTTTTTTGGCTCTCTTTCTGTTTCTCTCAGCTTGTTGAGAAGTATGTTAAAGATGCAAAGACTTTAATAGCAAGTGAGGAGTTAAACGACGTCGCTTCAGCTGTTCATTTACTCGACGCAGCGTTATCGATATCGCCGCGTTTAGAAACTGCTTTAGAGCTTAAAGCTAGATCTTTGCTTTATCTCCGTCGTTTCAAAGAAGTCGCCGATATGCTTCAAGATTATATTCCTAGTCTTAAACTCACCTTTAACGAAGAAGAAGAAGAATCCGTTGTTTCATCGGAAGGCTCTTCCTCTTCCTCCTCCTCTCGCGACGGAGCTAAGCTTCTCTCCGCCGTATCATCGCCGAGACGTGACTCGTCGTCGTTTAGATGCTTCTCTGTTTCCGACTTGAAGAAGAAAGTAATGGCAGGGATTTGTAAAAAATGTGATAAAGAAGGGCAATGGAGGTATTTCACACACTCGTTTTAATTTTTAATTTTACTTTTGCACGAAACGCAAACGTTTGATTTTAAAACGCGATATTTTAGGTACGTTGTGTTGGGTCAAGCTTGTTGCCATTTAGGACTAATGGAGGATGCGATGGTTTTGCTTCAAACCGGTAAACGTCTCGCCTCCGCAGAGTTTCGTCGCCGGAGTATTTGTTGGTCCGACGATAGTTTCCTTCTCTACTCCGAATCCTCCTCCGCGTCTCCACCGACGGAGAGCGAGAATTTCACACACCTCCTCGCTCACATAAAGCTTCTCCTCCGTCGTCGCGCCGCCGCAATCGCCGCACTCGACGCCGGACTTTTCTCTGAGTCGATCCGTCATTTCTCGAAGATCGTCGACGGTCGTCGTCCCGCACCTCAAGGATTTCTCGCCGAATGCTACATGAATCGAGCCGCCGCGTATAGATCCGCCGGTAGAATCGCGGAAGCGATCGCCGATTGCAACAAAACCCTAGCGCTTGAACCGTCGTGTATTCAAGCCCTGGAGAGTCGAGCAGATCTTCTGGAAACGGTACGGTGTTTTCCAGATTCGCTTCATGATCTAGAACACTTGAAGCTTCTTTACAACACGATTTTACGAGATCGGAAACTTCCAGGTCCGGTATGGAAACGGCACAATGTGAAATACAGAGAAATCCCTGGGAAATTGTGTGTGTTGACAACGAAAACGCAGAAATTGAAGAAGAAAATCGCAAACGGAGAAACTGGGAACGTCGATTATTACGGTTTGATCGGAATCAGACGCGGATGTAGTAGATCGGAGCTTGATCGAGCTCATCTATTGTTGTGTCTTAGATATAAACCAGATAGAGCTTCGTGTTTCATCGAACGGTGTGAGTTTACTGATCAAAACGACGTCGATTCGGTTAGAGATCGAGCGAAGATGTCTTCGTTGTTGCTTTACCGATTGATACAGAAAGGATATTCCGCCGTGACGGCGATCATAGC